ATCTATCTATCTATCTATCGTCTCACACTGGAGAATAGTGAGCTGTTACTTTAAAGCACAATGAGATTACACTGAGAGTTTAGAGAGCAGATACCAGGATGGAAACACTGCTGTAAATTTAAACAATCACACACACTGTATGTATATGTGAAGATGATTGACACAAGTATTATAGTTTCTGAATGTATAAAAACATTTGAGTATAAATATCTTCTTTTTTTTCATTTTACTGTAGTGTGTTGTTTAATTACATTTGATTTTATGTTTGATTTTTGATATAAGGTCAATATTTATTTTTTACAAACGTTATTGTAACACTTCAATCATGTCTGCAAAGACTAGTGAATGACAGATTTGTCTTGTCGCCTCTGTCTTCCCTTTCTTCCCCCATTGTTTTTTTTATATTACTCTGAATTAAAACTGCAAACAAATGAATGCTATATTTTATTGACAATTAAACTGGTGTTGTTATGGATTGTATATTTGCCTGCACCGTTTGCATGTCTGACACTGCCTTCTTGTCTTTTTCCTGACAGAATTGTACAATAAATCTTTACCAGTGAAAATCAGTGAATCTCTCCAACTCTTCTGTCTTTCCACACCTGGGTTTGGTTTTGGTCACAAATTACATAATAAAATAAATTGAATAACGGTTTCCTGGGTCTTCACAAGGAGAAAAAGATAAATTGATTTGAACAAAGTAGGGATTGTTTCTGTGCAAGTCCAGCTTTAGCTAATTTGTCCAGTTGAGTTCACTTACTGGGCTGACTCACAATGTTGCCCACAGTGACAGTGATCCTCTGGCCAAGAGCTCCTATCTGTTGCACACACACACACACACACACACACACTGGCAGCAGTATACCATATTTCTAATCTTCAAGAGATCATTACATTACATCCCAATGTACATTAAAATAGATTCTGATTCTGAGCTAACACTGACTGCAGAGACACAGAGCGTAAACCAAAACATTCCTTCCTCCGTGCGTGTAAATTTGTACTATTTGCGCCATCTGAAGAGCTTTCTCTGGCTCCAAACCCTTCAGATGGGATCTCCCGCTGTCACTCTTTTCATGATTGTTGTGATCCACAAACCAGTTTCACGCATCAGCTGAACTGAGTCTGGCAGAGCTGATTACTTGACATTCTCAAACTGTCATTATGTTCTTATTGCAAGCATCCAAAAAGAACAGATCTGTCAGGCAGGAATTGGAAAAAGAAGATGGACCGGCTCGAGCTTAGAGGATGATTCAGTGTGAAGTATTACGAACCCTTTGGTATAATATTTGTCACAATTATGGAGTCTATCATTTCTGGATTGTTAACAGCAGAAGCTCTCTTTGTTTAGTTGGAACATTTAATCCAAACAAATTCAACAAAATGTAATTTCTGCTTTTAAATGCTCAACTGATGTGCTTTTTTGTGCTCAGTACACACGTTTTAATTGCTTGATGCTTTTATGTTCATACTTCAAACAAATACGTTCCACAATCATTTCTTTGGCCACCGTACAGATCTACTGTAAACATGTGCAAGCCTTCCTTGGAGTTGAAAACCTCGTTGTTTGGCATAAACCCAAAGCCAGTATAGTTACTGGAATATCTCTGAATCACACAGATTATCCTGTCACAGTGCCGCTCACAAGCTAACCCCAGCACGAAGACATTTGGCGTTACAAAGATCTTTGTCCAACCATGAGAAAAATACATGTGTCTGTGCCTTTCTCCCTTCTTACTGTAAATCTCCACACAGAATCAGGAAAGTGCGCCGGAGAGATGAGACCCTCACATCCCCACACTTCAACTACAGCTGACAGAAATACATGATCTCCATCAACTGTCAGTTCAACACTTTCTCCAGATAAATCCTGTGTAACAAACAAAAGGCTTAATCAAATGAGCAGTGAGTCTTCCATTGGTTCCTCCATTGGTTATTAGTCACTGTAATGATAGACATTAAAATGCCTCAGCATCTGTTAGACATTATCAAGTCATCAGTCAGGTCATGTTGAATCAGGGCCATTTTTTACAGTTACTTAAAGGTCCAGTGTGTAACATTCAGGATTCTGCTCTACTGGCAGAAATGGAATATAATATTCACAGGTATGTTTTCATTCGGAGGACATCACGCAGCAAAGTGACATTACAATCCTTGGGCAATAAAAAGTGATTAATACATAAAAATAATACGTAAAGAATCTTACATATACATACCAACTTCAGGGTGAGACATTTCATTAGCCAAATTAATGAAAACACCTGTTTGGGGGTGTGACCTTTAGTTCATTTTATAAATCAACTGATATTAATTTGGCATGTTTGTGAGTGTGTGTTGTCATTAATCCATTTACAGTCTATTCTGTTCTCTATCGGGCCTCAAACTGATCAGAGGAGAGTGAAAGCCATGAACTCTGGAGCACCTCGCCGGAAGTCTTCACTTTCTGTTTAGTAATGTTTCACTGCATCTTCACCTGATCTGATACCACACTCTCCCCATTAGTTCAAACCCTTCGGCACTGCTGGTAAGATGAGGTAATGTTCAGAGTTTATCACTGTAGTGGATTTGTCAGGTGGGACCTCACGCAGACCCACACAGAGTACACTGAATGATTATAAGCCACGTATTGTTTGTATCAGGGGTGTATTTGACCCGTCTCCAACTCAGCAAAGATTTACAGATCTGTCAGACCAACAGCCAATCTGTGTGTGTGTGTGT